AAAAAAAAAAAAATCCCTAAGAACTTGAGCCCGGAATATGACTACTTCTTGCAAGGGATAAATGTACTGTGCTTTTAAAACTAATAAATATAAAGCATTAAAAATAAAAACTAAAACTTTCTCTTTCCTTTATTTCTGTCAATATATCAATAATGCCTAAGAGTAAGGCATAATGACTGACTTTATAGAATGAATTAATAAATAAATGAAAGAGTGAACATAAAAAACTGATACATCTCAGTAGGAGCCAACATCTAAAACATAATGTTCATTCATTTGACAAAAATATATTAAGCATCTACAGGGGGTTCAGGGAAGAGGACAGAGCTGGACAAATTAATTTGAGCATCATCAGCATGTAGATGGTATTTAAAGCCCCCATGAGTTCCCATCCTGAAAATTCTGCAACACTGAGGCATCTGGAAATATAAAATGTATCAAATTCTAACATCAAGAAAAGTGCAAATTCAAATCTAAACATATGATATTTACTTATAAGAGGGATTCCTAAAGAAAAGTAAATCATTTTAACCATTTTTCAGTTCATAAATATCCCTCAAATGATGCAACATTGCCGTATTGACCTGTTTTGTTTTCCTTTTTATGTTTTTTTTTTATCTTTGAGAGAAAGAGAGAGACAGAGAGAGAGAGAGAGAGAGAGAGAGAGAGAGAGAGAGGCAGAGAATTCCAAGCAGGCTCTGCACTGTTGGCACTTGAACATGAACCATGAGATCATGACCTGAGCCAAAATCAAGAGTCAGATGCTTAACTGACTGAGCCACCCAGGCGCCCATGTTTTGCTTTTAAAGAAGTGTTTTGGTTCACATTCTAGATTACATATATTCAAAACTGTATTTTATTTAAAAACCACTATGCCATGACACAAGATATATAGTTGATCCTTGAACAACATGGATCCATTCATACTCAGATTTTTTTCTATAAATACAGTATACTACTATATTTCCTCTCTCTTATGATTTTCTTAATAACGTTCTCTTTTCTCTAGGTCACTTTATGGTAAGAATACAGTAGATAGTACGTGTAATATACAAAATATGTGTTAGTACATTGTTTATCTTATTGGTAAGGCTTTTGGTCAATAGTAGGCTATTAGAAGTTAAGTTTTAGGGGAGTCAAAAGTTACACATGGATTTTCATCTGCACAGGGTATTGGTATCCCAACCCCCGTATTGTTCAAGAATCAAATGTATATCTCTTTGTACCAAGAGGTACACTTTAATCTTATAAGAGATCATGTACATTTTCTCTTTGAGTTAATAATATAAGGGAAAATTAAGAGTGGTTGACTTTTCTATGATTTAAAGGTTGAGATATTTTTTTGGTACCAAACCTAACATTGACTTTAATTACCTAGGTTAGATATTTATTTTTTAATGAACTTGGTGCTAGTTTGTGGAGAAAGTTTCAGTTTTATATCTCTATCAAATTTCAACTTTTCTTCTAAGTATACATGATTTAAAAAAAAAAGTGAATCCTGACTCATATTTAAGAACTGCTTTTTTCTCACTTATTTGATATTAAAATATTTCCTATGCTGCCTCTGAATCACCAGAATATATTATTTTATTACTTGTAAATTTATTAAACTGTTATAGTATACTTCCTTTTTAAAAGTATAAATTCAAGATTAATATATTAAAAAGTAAAGAAACCATAGATAAAATGTTTATAGGTTTACATTTGGACACTTCCCCTAATGCATGGTTTAGTTAATAAATTATGTGATTTCTTTAAGGCGTACTATAAAAGCACAGCATAATACTTTATAATTGGGATAAAAATGAATCCCTCAGCTGTAATTTTTTGACAGAATAAAATAAAGGCTGTAGGTGAAAAAATATATATACCAACAACTCTAGAGTGTAAAAAGAAAAAGAAAGTAGCTCCACACTCATTCATTCATTGCCAATACATTGTAGTGTTCTCTTAATTTATCAGTTTAATTCTTCCTGCAAAGAGGGGTGAAGTCACTGAAAAATTTGAGCTATACATGTATTCTCAAAGTCAGTTTCACAACTAAAATCAGTAATTAACCTATGAAAACAACTATTCCATAGCAAGCTGCTTAAAACTTGGAAGACATCAATTACATTTATTTTATTATCTTTTATAAGCCACAGATGAATTTCAAATGGGTCACTTTCCAAAGAACAGCAAAGCTGAAAAAAATATTGTACTTGGTATGTCCAGGGAGCAAACCCATTCTCAGCAAAGAATCGGTTTTAGGAACTGCCTTCTGACTAACCACCACACATGCTCAAACAGAAAGCTCTACTATCCAATGGGTGTGACCCTGGAACAGAAAGTCATCATGGACCCCAGCACCTGGGGAAAAATTTGCTAGTCATATCTTAGGGTATATTAACATAGAAGAATGACTTTAAAAAAAATAAGAGACAAAAATAAAAATATAAAGCTTGAGAGAAAAAGTTGATAGAGAAAAATGTCACAGGTCCTTGCTATATGAAGAAAGTACAAAAATGCCACCAAGCCACTAAAGACTCCTTCACAGAAAGATACAGTGGATGAGCCCTGTCTTATCAGAGTAAAATTGATTGTAACATTTCTTAAACATATGGCTTTCTTCATAAAGAATACAGCAGTGTTTTCATTCAGCTAAAGTAATCTCCAAGTAATCTGCTAAATGGGTTTTACTATGACGCGTTACAAATGAGATCATTGCTGTCTGCCAGATCGGCCACATATATTACTATAGTAAAGAATAATGGGCAAAACATGCACTTGTTGATGAACGGGAAAAGAAAAAAAAATCACAGGATTGTAACAAAATTCTCTTCTTTTCATATAGAAAGAACTGTCGTTAAAATTTTACTGTAAGAGTTTCATGCTACTAAACCATCATTTCAGTTTTTAATAAATTAACCCAATTCTGTCTGCAGTATAAATAACATTGAAATATCTTAC